TGTAAAAATTATCAATAACTTGTAATAAATCAGTGTATTCACTCCCAGTAAACACTGCTCCTTACACTGTCACTATGTTGAAATGAACTGTAGTTTGAGCTTTTCCCCATCTAGTTATTATATGTCTCATTTGTGTCACTTATGTTACTTGTATATTATTTGTAATTTCGTAACCCATTCCCAAATATGTAACTGTATATTTTTCAGCCTTCTGGCTGCCAAGCTCTTTTCAATAAACCGTTAATTATTATTATTATTATTTATTATTAAAACAACAAAGACAAAGACTTCATAACTCTCTCTCTCTCTCTCTCTCACACTTTTATAATGTCACTGTTGCACCACCCCCCCCTCCTCCCCCCTCCTCCCCCCCTCCCCCTCCCCGATTTCTTCAGATTTTCACCTCCTAATCCAGCCCGATTTATGGTCACGCTGAAGACCTCACACTAGTCATATCAAGCCTAAATGTGACCCATTATTCTCCCTGACATCCTTGACCTTTGACCTGACACCTTCAACACCTCGTAAAATTATCGAATTACGGAGGGTTGTTAAGACGGGGGGTGTTGTAGACCTTATGGGGGAGAGAAGAAGAGAGAGAGAGAGAGAGAGAGAGAGAGAGATTTGGTAGGAAATGAAAGTTAACAAAAGCAAAATTCATAAATTGTTAAAAAAAATGCCTTTCTATTTTCTACCTTCAATTTTGTCTGTCTGTGTCTGTCTGTGTCTGTCTGTCTGTGTCTGTCTATCTCTTGTCTGTCTGTCTGTCTGTGTCTGTCTGTGTCTGTCTGTCTGTGTCTGTCTATCTCTCTGTGTCTGTCTCTCTGTCTATCTGTCTGTTTGCTCTAATCATCAAGGTTACCTGCTGGAGGGAAGGGGGAGGAGGAGGAAGAGGGGGGGGGGAAAGGGGAGGGAGGGTGGCAGGGGAGAGGGAGATTGAAGAGAGAAATAGGTGAATGATAATGAGTGATGATGATTAAAGGAAAGAAGGTAAGAGGAGAGGGAGAAGAGGAGGAAGGAAGGGAGAGGAGGATTGTATTCACTTTCCCCTCCTCCTCCCTCCCCTCTCCTCTCCCCTCAGAGATGAGCGCTTGCGATAACTCACTGAGATGCTGCAAGATAACACGGTACTAGAGGCTTGTGGAGAACTCTATTTTCTTTGGGAGAGAGAGAGAGAGAGAGAGAGAAAGAGAGAGACCATTTCTACATATCCATAAAAAGTGTGTGTGTGTGTGTGTGTGTGTGTGTGTGTGTGTGTGTGTGTGTGTGTGGTGTGTGTGGTGTGTGTGTGTGTGTGTGTGTGTGTGTGTGTGTGTGTGTGTGTGTGTGTGTGTGGTGTGTGTGTGTGTGTGTGTGTGTGTGTGTGTGTGGTGTGTGTGTGTGTGTGTGTGTGTGTGTGTGTGCGTGTGTGTGTGTGTGTGTGCGTGTGGGGGGTATCATCATTACTGGGTGACCTGGGTGAGTGCCATTTCCCGTCTCAGGTTCATTCTCGGGATCACCTGACCTTGACCTCTTGACTAGGCACAGGGACGACGGAGAAGGAAGGAAGGGAAGGGAAGGAAGGAAGGAAGGAAGGAGGTCTGATCGTTCCTTCCTGATGATGAGAACGAGAAAGTACTGACCAGGGTAAACTCGACCCTGGGGACCTGAGTGGGGTGGGGGTGGGGTGGGGTGGGTGGGGTGGGGTGGGTGGGGTGGGGTGGGGTGGGTGGGGTGGGGTGGGGTGGGGGGGCGGAGAGGGTAGGGGATGGGTACGAGAGATGAATGATGGGGATAGGTAGGGAATAGGTGGAATGGGTATAAGAGTTAAACGGAAAGGAAGGAAGTGGGATGGGAAGAGAGGAAGAATGTAAGAAGAGAAGAGGAAGAGAAAGAATAGAAAGATAAATAGGACAAAGAAGGTGGAACACGGAATAAGAGACCAAAAAAAAGGGAGAACTAGTAGAAGAAAAAGAAGAAGAATGAGGAAGAGGTGGAACAGGAAGAGGAAGAAGGAACAGGGATAGAGACGCAAACTTAAGTAATAAAAATATATAATAAATCTCCACTCTCTCACTCTCTCTCTCTCTCTCTTGTTTGTCGGTCTGTCTCTTTTTTCTGTACCTCTGTTTCTCTCTCTGTCTATTTGTCTGCCTGTCTATCTATCTGCCTGTCTATATGTCTGTCTATCTCTCTTCCTCTCTGTTTCTTTCTCTGTCTATTTGTCTGTCTGTCTATCTATCTGCCTGTCTATATGTCTGTCTATCTCTCTTCCTCTCTCTCTGTCTATTTGTCTGTCTGTCTATCTATCTGCCTGTCTATATGTCTGTCTATCTCTCTTCCTCTCTCTCTGTCTATTTGTCTGTCTGTCTATCTATCTGCCTGTCTATATGTCTGTCTGTCTGTCTGTCTCTCTCTCCACCTCTCTCCCTCCCACCATTCATTTTTCACGGTTCGCTCATCAGTAAATTCTAACACACACGTTTCCCCCATCACAACAATCACTAACCTAGACCAACCGTGTTATTTCCCTATAAAACTGACAACTCGCCTTTATTTTTTTCCCCCTTTTTTTCCCTAGCGTCCATCAAAGGTAGGTATTATTTCCCCGCCACATGATACCTTGAGTTAATAATTCCCTGAGACTGACGATGATTAGGGGAAGATTATCCTAAGGTGTTGTGTACACTTAGTAATATGCGCAGTGTGATAACGTCTGAGTACATTGGTGAAATCTACTACTACTACTACTACTATTACTACTACTACTATTACCATTGACTATTCACTATTTATCATTTATTGTTATTTGTTATCTATTCTTGTTATTACATCATCTATCATTATTATCTATTGACATCTTTTACCCACCATCTACCACCACCACCACCACCATCACTCACCACCCACAACCACCACCACTCACTATAACCCACCAACACCCACCACAACCCACCGTCACCTCACCCACCACCACAGCCCACTACACACCCACTACCATCACCTCACCACCACCGTCACCTCACCCACCACCACAGCCCACCACAGCCCCTCTACCCCACCGTCCTCACCCACCACCACAACCCCACCACCACCACCGTCACCTCACCCACCACCACAGCCCACCACAGCCCACTACCACCGTCACCTCAACACCTAAACCGTAAAGAATATAAACAAATGTATTCTTTTGTTTTTTTTATTGTTTTTTTTAAATTGCAATTTTTTCTGTTTTAATTCAAGCTTTTGTAGACGATGGTTTAAGTTATATAACCCTTTGTAGACGATGGTTTAACTCTTATAGCTTAAACCATAGTTCTGACATGGGTTTATAAGTTAAGTATTCTAAGTGTTTTACTCTCACTTAGAAATATTATTATACTTTTCAATACTTTTTTCAAATCAATGAATTTTCCCAGACAAAAGTATCAGTAACTGTTTTATTGTAGTTTCAAAACCTTTTACATATTATATACTTTTACAGGTCCACCAACACAAATTACCAAATTTCTTTTTTATTCATACATAAATCACTATAACAAATTTCAATATCATTCCACAATCTAACTTTTGTTTATCTCTTGAAATTACAAAATAAATTCTTAAACTTTTAGAAAATTTCGATACGATTTTCAAACCATATTTTTTTTTTGGCCCCTTGTAAGACGACGCACCACCACCACCACACTCTCCACCACCACACTCTCCACCAACCACACTCACCACCGCCTCACCACCAGCCACCTCCACCACCACCTCACCACCACCCACCTCTCCACCACCACACTCTCACCACCCCTGCCTCTCCTACACACTCACCCCCTGCCCTCACCTGGCCACACTCACCAGCCACACTCTCACCACACTCTCCACCAACCACACTCTCCCAACCATACTCACCACCAACCACACTCTCCACCACCACACTCTCCACCAACCACACTCTCCACCAACCACACTCACCACCAACCACACACTCCACCAACCACACTCTCCACCACCACACTCTCCCGACACACTCATTATTAACATGTTGGAGAGCTCGCTAATTGCACTCCCATTAATTAACCAGAGAAACGACCCCGATCAAGAGAGGGACTTTTGACTGACGCTAAACATCCTTGAGAACGTTAATATCTTGACCCCCAGGTGATTATGGACGACTGAGGTAGAAGGAAAGAAAGAAAAAAAAAAGAATTAAAATCCTTGAAGAGATCAAATCAGCAGTGATGGACAGACTCGTGCCTAAACTACCCTGTCTGTGACCCTTACTGTGGCTCTGCTTGTGTGTGTGTGGGTACGGTATTTATTTCCCAGCAAGAGGTTAGGATTTTTTTTTTTATGGCGGACCAGCGTTTGTCTTACCTCGTTAAGTAGTTCCCCGTTAAACAAGAGTCTTTCCTCGTTAAGCAATAGAAAATAAGAGCTGATAAATTAGAAGTAAGCAGAAAACTAAAAACAGACACTAGTCAAGCTAAGGTCTGCCATGATGAGCTGTATCGAGCAAAACACGACCAACAGACTAAGGTTAACATGTAAGTTCCTCTGGCAATATGACCATCATGCTGGAAAGTGAACAACACGATAACTAAAGTGTGTGGCCAGATCAATAGCCACACACTAGAACACTATATCCTAGACTTTGAGATAATATAAACCTTTTAGTGATAGGTCCAAGTATATGACAAGACGCACAACACGTCATCTCTAATGGCAAGATAGCTGTTGTATTAAGGCTGTACCCATATTATGTACCTAGTAGCCAAGTTAACCTCTATGTAAGAAACTAAACAAATAATGCAATGAAAACACTCTGTAGCATTCAACTCCATAGTATCCTGATCATTGGGGGTTCGATATATAACCTTTGTGACCTCTTGACCTCTTGGCCTCTGCTCTGTAATCCTTTTTTGCACTATCACTCAAAGGATATGGGGGGTACACAGTAAATTAACCGCTGTCTGAGGCAAAAAACAATAACAACATCACACAAACTCAAGATAGATTATCCCACCAACCAAATGCCTTCACCATCAAGCAACAGTCCCCTCTCCGTCAAGCAACAGTGTCCCCTCCGTCAAGCAACAGTCCCCTCTCCGTCAAGCAACAGTCCCCCCCATCAAGCAACAGTCCCCTCTCCGTCAAGCAACAGTGTCCCCTCCGTCAAGCAACAGTCCCCTCTCCGTCAAGCAACAGTCCCCTCTCCGTCAAGCAACAGTGTCCCCTTCGTCAAGCAACAGTGTCCCCTCTCCGTCAAGCAACAGTGTCCCCAGAGTCAAGCAAGCAGACAATCCAGCAAGGGCGCCCATGACACAGGCAGTCCCTCATGCAGCTCACTAATGAAGCAATTGATGGAGGAGTCACAGGAGATGACTCTGATCCAGCGAGAAGAAACACTGTATCGACCTGATCTTCTCACAATGAACCTCCTCAAGCGAAAAGGAGGAGGAAGAAGAAGAAGGAGAGAGAGAGAGAGAAAAAAAATTGTGATTGTCATTTCTCTTGATCAAATAGCGTCTAGGATCCTTCAGGACTACGACTTCAGGAACACCGACACCTTCAGGATCTTCAGGATATGCAGCAGTGAGTACCTAAGGACGAGGGTGTAATAGGAAGTGGTGTAAACAATCCTCCATAATGGCCCCTTCAGGAGGACTCAAAAGATATGATTGACGTTTTCCCTGACCGAGCAACGTTTAGGATCCCTCAGCACAAAAGGATATGCAACTGTGGGTACCTAAGGACATGACTGATTAAACATGATGTGATCTGGACAGTCATTCATACTGACCACCTGCAGACAAAAAAAATATATAATTGTAAATTTTTCTTCGCCAAACAGAGGTCGAATTTTTTTAGCACTTCAAGGACATCATCATCCTCATCATCATCATCATCTTCATCATCATTATCATCAATATCACCACCACCAGCAATAAAAGACGACCCTCTCCCCGAATCCACCTCTAGCCACCCCCACCTCTCCATTGAGTACCTCCTACCTGTGTGATGTCATAAACCACAGGTGTACCCAAAAGCGTCACGTCAAGGCTGATGGTCAGGGGAGAGTGAGGCAGCCTCCTGGGTGTTATATTCACACATAATATTGACAGCTCTGAAGGTTCTTGCTCACTAATACGACAATTTGATGGGTTATAGATTTTTACTTAAGTTTCCCATGTTTTTGTTATTTTGCTGTTTTCTTTGCTAGGGTGTACTTGTATATAATGACTTCTAAGCACATACATATACAGTAAATGCACCCAGGCACATCAAAATACACACACACATACAGACACTCGCATACACTCTCACACACACACACACACACACACACACATTTTACTAAGTGTACATACAGTCTCTCTCTCACACACACACACAATACTCAAACCTAAAAAAAAACCCATATCGAATGACCCAAACAAAATAAAACAAACAAACAAAAGCCAGAACTACCTCCTTACTACCCACAGATGCCACACGTCCCTATATGGTCAGACCCCAGAGAGTCGTCCCAGTATTACCAGACATAGAACACCAAAAAAAAAAACCTTACCTACCCCTCAGTCGACTATGTTTGAATCAAGTCGTTTAGGAAAGAAAATCACAGAAGCGAATGTAAAGTATTTGTGTTTGTTGTGTGCTTGTGAGGTGATAGTGGTAGTGAGGGTCGTTTAAGGGATTTTGGGGCGGGATTTAGGGCGGGATTTTGGGTGGGATTTTGTGGTGGGATTTTAGTCGTCTGAGATAGAATTTGGGGAGTTTTTTGGTTGAATATTTTTTTATGGATTTTAGGTCGTTTTGGGTTGGAATTTTGCCTTTGGGGGTGATTTTTGGTAATTTAGGAAGGGATTTAAGTTATTTAAGACGAGATTTTGGTGTTTTTTCCGGTATTTTAGTCGTTTTTAGGAAGATATTTTGGTGGGAGGTTGTGGGATTTCAGTCGTCTTTGGAGGGTTTTAGGTCGTTAAGTTGTATTTTTTTTTCATTTCGATTAAATTTCGTTAGCGAGAGGTTAAATGAGGTTAGGTTATATCATCTTGAGTTAGGGAAGTTTCGATTAAGTTAAGCTAAGTTCATTTAAATTAGACTAAGTTAAGGATGAGGTTTTAAGTTAGATTAGGTCATAACAGTTTAAGTTAGATTAGGTCACGGCAGTTTAAATTAGATTAGGTCATAGCAGTTTAACTTAGATTAGGTCATGGCAGTTTAAGTTAGGTCAAGTAACCAAATTTTCTCGTGGCGGGAATAATGTCCATATACCAATCGCTTATAACTTGGCATCCAGGCACCGGGAGCTCTCAGTGGGAGTGAATTATTATCCCCGGTTCACTGAGTCACTGAGGGTTCGAATCAGCTCTTCGTAGGCATGACAGATGAGCGGGGTTCCTGGGGTTCCTGGGGCTCCGTGAAGCAGGTTCAGGGGCGTACGAGACTTCGAATCCCAGGGGGGTCGTCAAGAGCATGCCGAGTCAACAACACGAGGGATGAGTAGCCTAACTCTAGCCTGTTCGCTGCCTGCTCATATCCTGCCTGTCTTGATTTCTGCCTGTTACAAACCTGCTCTGAACCTGTGTGAGCCTGTTTGAATCCTTTATGTCAAGCTTCTCCTAAAGGGTTCTCGAAATATCTCAACCAAATCTGTTCGAGAATTGATTCATTTCCTTCTGATCTTGTTAGAAACCTGAGTGAAACCTAAGCTAGTTTCTCTAACCTCTCTGAAGAACAACCGAGACCTGTTATCTGGTGTTACGAACCTAAATGACGCCGAGTTCGAAACCTGTTCACTTATGCTTCGAAACTGCCATTTAATTGTTCAAGACCTTTTTACCACTGCTACGAGCGAGCCTACCACTATTATACCAAACCTGCCACATAGTTATTCGAAACCTGTTCATTGTTATTTCGAACCAATCAAATACTTATTCAGAGCCTTTTCACTGCTGTTTTAAACCCACCACGTAGCTGTTCGAAGCATGTACACCGCTGCTTCGAACCTACCAGATACTAGCAGCTCTAAGACACTGCTTCACTCCCACCAGAAACCTGTTTTGAAACCTTCTACATGTTTTTTGCGTGTTTTTGTCTGGCCATGTCTGCTGAGTGTATGTGAAACAAGAGAACCACCGTAAGCTGTTGCATCACCGACCACAAATAGAACTCCTTGGAACTCACTGTAAAAAAAACCTAAACATATCTACATCTGCTGTAATATAAGTTGCTGTTTCTTATAAGGGTGTCGGTAGATAGGTGAGTTACAGGAGTGAGAGTTACAGGAGTGAGGGTTGAGAGATTACAGGAGTGAGAGTGACAGGAGTGAGAGCTACAGGAGTGAGGGTTGAGAGTTACAGGAGTGAGAGTTACAGGAGTGAGAGTTACAGGAGTGAGAGTTACAGGAGTGAGAGTTGAGAGTTACAGGAGTGAGAGTTACAGGAGTGAGGGTTGAGAATTACAGGAGTGAGAGTTACAGGAGTGAGAGGTACAGGAGTGAGGGTTGAGAATTGCAGGAGTGAGAGTTACAGGGTGAGGGGTTGAGAGTTACAGGAGTGAGAGTGACAGGAGTGAGACTACAGGGTGAGGGTTGAGGTTACAGGTGAGGGTTACAGGGTGAGAGTTCAGGAGAGGTTGAGATTACAGGAGTGAGAGTTACAGGGTGGGGTGATTCAGGGAGGGGGTGGGGGTGAGAGTTACAGGAGTGAGGGTTGAGAGTTACAGGGTGAGAGTGACAGGAGTGAGAGCTACAGGAGTGAGGGTTGGGTTACAGGAGTGAGAGTTACAGGAGTGAGAGTTACAGGAGTGAGAGTTACAGGAGTGAGAGTTGAGAGTTACAGCACATAGTTGAGTTACAGCACATAGTTAAGTGCCCAAAATCCCTCTCAACTACCCAGCACCCCTCTCAACTACCCAGCATCCTCTCGCCTACCTAACACCCCCTCTCAACTACCCAACATCCCTCTCACCTACCTAAAACCCCCTCTCAACTACCCAACACCTCTCTCAACTATCCTCTCACCTACCTAAAACCCCTCTCAACTACAACACTCCTCTCAACTACAACACCCTCTCAACTACCCAACATCCCTCTCATCTCTACCTAAACCCCCTCTCAACTACCCAACACCCTCTCAACTACCAACACCTCTCTCACCTACCAACACCTCTCTCCAACTACCCAACCCTCTCAACTACCCAATATCCCTCTCACCTACCTAACACCCCTCTCAACTACCCAACACCTCTCTCACCTACCCAACACCTCTCTCAACTACCCAGCATCCCTCTCACCTACCTAACACCCCTCTCACCTACCCAAGACCCCCTCTCAACTACAACACCCTCTCAACTACCCAACACCCTCTCACCTACCCAAGACCCTCTCAACTACCCTAACCCTCTCAACTACCCAACACCCCTCTCAACTACCCAACATCCTCTCAACTACCCAGCACCCTCCTCAACTACCCAGCACCCTCCTAACTCCCCTCTCCAGCATCCCCTCTCACCTCCCTCTCCTCACCCAACATCCCTCTCACCTACCTAAAACCCCTCTCAACTACTACCCCTTTCTACCCAACACCTCTCTCAACTACCCAGCATCCCTCCTACCCAGCACCTAACACCCCCTCTCAACTACCCAGCATCCTCTCACCTACCTCACCCTCTCTCAACTACCCAACACTCCCCTATCCCTCTCACCTACCTAACACCCTCTCAACTACCCAACACCCCTCTCAACTACCCAGCATCCTCTCACCTCTCTCAACTACCCAACACCCCTCTCAACTACCCATCACCTCTCCTCACCTACACCCAACACCCTCTCACCCACCCAACATCCCTCTCACCTACCCAACATCCCTCTCACCCACCCAACACCTACCTACCCAACACCCCTCTCAACTACCCAACATCACCTACCTAACCTCCCATCCTCTCACTCCCACCTCTCAACACCTCTCACCTACCCAACATCCCTCTCACCTACCCAACATCCCTCTCACCTACCCAACATCCCTCTCACCTACCCAACATCCCTCTCACCTACCCAACATCCCTCTCACCTACCCAACATCCCTCTCACTTACCCAACATCCCTCTCACCTACCCATCCCACTAGCTCCCAGCACCTGACAGAACCTAGGAAGGTGTGTGAAGGTCGACCGGTCATCTCAATCGTTTATCAACCGGAGTTCTACGATGCTACGGCTCTATTTGTCCGTCCTGTGGTCCGGTCGTCGAGGATTGCCGGATACTAGCCGGTCGAGAAGAATGGGGGGAATGGGGACTGAAATGTGGAAGAGAAGGATGGGGAGGAATGGGAATGGGGATGGGGATGGGCGGTATTTTTTATCACTGACCCCTTCCAGATGCTAAGAATGGGTATGGTGATGGGGGATGGAAGGATAGGATGTATCCCATTCCCCATGCATGAAGGAGGGGGAGGAGGAGAATATACACCTCCATCTCTCCCTCCTCCTCATTTTCTTTCCTCTTCTTCGTCTATCCCTATTCCCCATTATTTGTATGCATGGGGGAGGGTGTCGTTACCTCTAAGACCCACCCTGTTTACCTAGGAATTT